TTGCAACGACACACTTTCTCTGCCCATTTTCCTCCCGTTCCGGAGCTGTCCCAACTTCAGCAGCTTCAATGGCTGCGCTTCTGTCGCCAGCAGAGATTCTCCTGGATCAATCAGGGACTTTGCAGTGTCCCTGAAATCAGCAGGATGTACTCTTCCCTACCAGTCTCTTCGGGATGGTTTAGGTCCAAGATCGCACATCATGTCGTTGCAACATTAGCTCCTCCTCTCACAAATTTTATACTTTTATGACTTTAATTATAAAACTACAAGACTGCAGACTTCTCAATTGTAGAATGTTAATATATGAACTAACATTGCACATGTCCCCCATAACCATAAGACATGCATTTGCTGTTCCTTCAGGAGGAAAAGCATGTATATTATTTTCAATATACATTTCAATGTATATATTTCAATATAATATAAGGGGTTAATCTCCAGTATTACATGTATCTGTCACCCTGCTTATGGTTTATGTAATCTTTCTAAAAAGGCTGTTATGTTGTTGGCTGTATTATCCCATGTTGCAAGACTTACTGTGTTCTCCTCCCCTTGGATCCCCCAAAACCAGTCTGATACAATTTACTTAGCTGGTTTCAGATGATAGGTTATTCCAAAAAGGAAATTACATCCTAGGAACTGTCTTTTGGGGGATTATTAAATAGGAAGTGGGGGATTATTAAATAGGAAGTGGAATTCGAATTCGAATTGATGGTAAGAAATAAGATTGACCAAAGGATGTCCCTACATTTAGATCTGGTCATCTGTGTGCGCGTGCATATGTATGTATATGCTGAGAAGAACTACTAAATGGTCAGATATATTGTAGTATGCTAGGCAAGGAGAAATTGAAAATTCCTCAATTAAATGTTTGTCATACAGAAAGATAAAAAAATTAAGACTATACCTTAAACAAAAATAGCAAATATTTTATTTTAATAAGGAACTTTATCTTGGTAGCAGCTGAACTATCTAGCTAAACTAAACTTGAGGCATCACACGTATCCTCTCAGAAAACTCTTCCCCCTCCCCCACCCAAAGAATTATCTCAGCTTTTACCATTCATGTATATAGTTCAATAAAGATGAATAAGCACTCTTCGTTTAATGCCAGTTGGGTTTAAAGAAGGCTTAAGTGCAGTATTAATAGTCTGTGATTTTAGATAACTGAAAAAAATAAACATGTAGATCAAAGGGTGTTGCTTTTAATCAAGATAATTAAATCTATGAGGAACTGGAATGTTCAGTAAGCTCATCATTTTTTTTCAACACTTCAATTTTTAAAACATCTAAATAATATTGCAATCAAGAACATAAAATACTGAAAACTACAAATGCACATAAAATAATTGGAAACATCAAAGTAAGTACCTAGAACATGATGGGAAATAATAAAATCACAAATCTACAATTGAAAATATAAAAATATTTAGAATATGGTAGTGGATAATAAATCCAGATTACCTGGGCTTTGTCAAAGAAACGTCTAAAAATCAGAGGAAGAAACTAAAGACATGTATAATGGTCTGTGGGAATACTTTTGAGATAGGAGGAAGTGCCCAGCCAAAGCCAAGAGTCAGGTAATACACATTTCAGTCCACTGAAGAAATGGTGGTATGGAAAGCACCTCAGAAGAGACCTTCCTAATTCCCTGGACAATAAAGGCAAAAAGGAGGGGAGAGTGATGTGGTTTCAGATTTGCAAAATTCTATTATTATACACTTACAATAAATGTAGTGTTAATATTCATCGTTGGTTCTTGTTTGGACTAGCTCATAAGGCTGACTGCACAAGTCAAAAAGTGGATTAATAAGCAGACTTAAGAAATTGGGGAAAGACAAAGTTTAATCTTTGCTAAAAAAAAGTTTCTTTGTTCTTTGCAAGGGAAAAGATACACACACGGCACACCACTGGGACTTTAGCAGAAACTGCAATTTTTTCTCTCCAAACAAAATCATAGAGAAAAGGAAGAAAAATTCTCAGAGCTATAATGCTATTCATTCATTTATTCATTCAATTTACATAGCTGCCCAACTCACATGACCCTGGCATCTTAGAGTTAAAAAAAACACACACACACATAAAACAATACAAAAATGCAGGTAGTCTTAAACCTACCACTCATTTAGTTACCATTCAAAGTTACAATGGCACTGAAAAAATGACTTATGACGAGTTGTCACACTTACAACCATTGCAAGCATACCCATGGTCACATGATCAAAATTCATGTGCTTGGCAAATGGCTTGTATCCTCTCCCGGGGTCATGTAATCACCAATTATAACCTTCCTACTGGCTCCCGACAAGCAGGCAATGGAGGAAGCCAGATTTACTTAACGACTGCATGATTCACTTAACTAGTGATTTTTTTTAAAGGAAGCATATAAGAAACATCCCTTGAGATCAAGTAGCTGCAAAAATATTTAAGATAAAATTCTTCTAGTGCCTTATCTATATCTATATCTAAACATCTGAAGATTCTAAAAGAGGTATATAGCTGCAAATTAAACATTTAGATTCCCAAACTATATAAAACAATTGGAATTTCTTTAATGTTGTCTGTATACCAGCAACTTTTCTGCAGTGTAATTTCATATCACATAAAATATACTGTAGATCTGCTAAAAAGAAAGCTAAAAGTCAGGTGTGAAAAATCCCCACGGTCCAGGGATTTAAATTTCAAGGATTCATATGGTTCTGACATTTCCTCTCTCCATCTAATCAATTATTTTTTCCTACTAATGAAAATATGCTTATAGATTAAATACTGTATATGTATGTATGTATTCACCTTGAAAGATTGAAATGTTCAGATGAATATGCAGCTTGCCAAAAATAGACTATGACTTACAAAACAGCTGAAGAACATCAAAATATATACCTTTTTATATTTATTCATACTGTGGCAAGTGAAGATGAAGAAACCACACAACTTTTTAACTGTCAAAAGAAACTGTTTACAATCCAATCATAACATCAGTCATAAGAAATTCCAATTATTATGTATTCTTGCTTTCATTCTAAATATACATAAAGTGCAGTGGAACATACTCTTTATGGAAAGATTTAAAGTATGTTACAGAAATAATGTAAGATTTTATTATTTTTTTTAAAAACAGACATATGCCATACTAAACATCATGTCACTGATACAGCAAGACTACCATTACAAAATGAATAAACAATTCCATTAAGCCTATTTAAAAGATGGAAAATTAGATTAAGAACGAACAGTAACAGCCACTGAAATACTATAGCAGGAAATCATTATGTTTCTAAGCGACATTTTTTGGACAATCCACTGATATTGCTTCCTTTCCTCTTCTGGGAAATACTGGAATCTTTTGGGAACTCAGCCTGGCTTTTGTGATTCTCTTCATTGGTGATTTCTAAAGGCTGAAAGAGTATCAAAGAAAAACAATGAGATGGGAAAAAAGTGTTTCATTCTCTAGTCCCAGTTGTTCAAAGAATGAATAACTTTATTCATATCTTGCAAGAATGTAAGCTTCCCAGCTTAGAATTTCAGAATCAATTTTCTCCTCTTTAAATACACGGACACTATATTTTTGCAATTCACTACAGATTCTTTAGGAACTCTATTTTACAAGTTACCATTTTAATGGCACAAACAGCAGGAGAGAAAAATCTTTTCTTTCATTGTTTCCTATCACAGAACTATATTTCTGTTCGGAATGAATAAATTATTTTCTGACACTCCTGCAGTATGAAATCCATAATGTTTTGCAAGTCATAAAAGTTTTTATATACTTTCTGTACATCTTTATTACAATGACTCAAATTCTCACAAAGGCCAGTCAGGGAGAAATTCTGGAAAGAAATATCACTATAAAAGAAATACGAACAGAAAGATCCTTCTACAAATTACAAACCTAGTATTTTATTTATGTTAGTTTCAAATACAAAAAATAAAATTTTAATTTCTGAGTTTTCTTTAATTAGAAGAAAAAAAGCACAACTACTGCAGTACTATTTTTTTTTAAGGATCAAGTGCCTCCTGGTGTTTCAACTGTGTAACTACAATACTTTTTTCTCCCTTGTAAATATTGTGTAAGTTTGTACATAAATAAAACACATTATTGTTATTTACTAAAAGCTACTTTATACAATTTGCAAAACAGGCATTCTCTTACATTAAAAATCCACACTGGCTATCCTATCCAAATATGAATATGCATATTTAGATATTCAAATACATATACGTGTGTACCACTGTATTATTTCTACACTGTTGTCTTACACTGAGGTCCATGTACTCTAATTCACTTTTTTCTCAAACAGACACACCCTTTCAATGTTTCTCCTATTATGAGTGCTGGAACAAGAGTAGGAAGCCTAGTCTATCAACTCTCCTCTCACTCCTGAATTCTTCCTTTGTTGGGAAAAGCAAAAGGAGTCTAAATACAGCAGGTTGCTGCCACTTCCTTGAAAGAAACATGAAACTGCTAAAACTGGTCCCTTCTGCCCACTGACCTGGAACCTGGATCATGCAGAACCAACATGTAGCTGAGGGGCTGCATATCCTTGTTTATTGGAACAGAGAAAATATTTTTGCTACAGCTGTTCAGTTTTTGTTCATTATATGTACTATACAGTTAAATTGGATGTTTTAATAACAATAGTAATTCAGCTCCAGTCTTCTCTAAACTATGATTCAAAAGTTTCCTGTTATCCAAATCCCACTATACTGCTTCAAGTGAGGAAAGGTACTGGGAAAGGTGAATGAAGAATATCAGGACTGTATGCCAAGACAGGACAATCATTCAGTGCAAAAAGCAGACACCTATATCAGGAAGTAGAGTTGATCCATCCAATTAAAACTGAAATATTAAAAGTTAAACCAAGATGATGGTAACCTCAGGATGAAAATCTTCCTGTCAGTCATCCTCAATGTAGCAAGCCTCTCAGGGTCCCAAACCAAGCAACACAGCAGGTTTTAGGGTCTTCTAGAAAGTCAGGAGTGTATTAATTACTGCTCAGATCTACCTAAAAGTCATCCTCCTGATGGTGTTTACTAACCAGGAAAGGCAAGCATCTAATAAACAACTAGCTGCCCTAACAGTCCCAAGGACCCTGTCCACTTCTTCAGATCCAACTGGATCAAACAGTTCTCAGATAACTGGTTAAATATAATCCCTAAAATAAAAAAAATCAGAGAACTGTTAAGAGACAAGAAGCAGTTTAAAGTGACATTTATAAACAATAATTTCTAACAGTTGCTGAACCAATGGTCATAAATCAAGAACTACTATATTTTACTCATATATTAAGCATGTATGTTCCTGAGTCACGTACCTAATAGACGTCCAAATAAAATATGGTTGTAATAGAATAAATTCCAAATTATTTTTACCCAAGGCATGTTTTACAAAATCAGGCACTAATACAATAACCTGTCAGTTGAAAAAAATATGGATTTTTTCTTGACATTTTGATTTATGCTAACCTGGCCAGGAACTCAAACTCCTCTTATACTGCCATCCCAGGAAACACTTTGTTTTTCTGGCAAAGATAAAATCCAGGATATGTACACCATGGCACATTCAGGACACTACAACTCCACAAACTCATTTACAGGAAAATAGACAATTATGCAATTGAGCTTTCACTCACAGCAAGACTGCACATGTGAAAATTAACCAACACCCCATTCCTTTGTAACAGAAGTAATGTATTTCTTACCATTGTTGTCTGGCTTGCATATTTTTCTGTCCATTGTCTGGCATTTTTGAGAAATGCTTGCTTGTTGTATTTATACTCTGAAGACTAGACATAATAAAAAGGGCAAGAAAAGGATAATTATGGCCTCTCATCTTAACATATAGTTATATTTAATGGCAGATTCATCTGACAGCTTGGAAGACTTCACCTTATAGATATATGTAGATATATATAAAGACTAAACTTTGAAAAATGCCTTAATGGTTTATATATTGCATGTAACGTGTGAATTTTGTAACATGAACACTGAAAAAATCTATTAGCATATTTTACTACGCCATAAATTATATTCATTGATTTTCTATCTGAAGAATATCGTGCAAATAAATATGAAGAAATCACAAAGTATCTCCTTATAAACCAGGCAATTTAAATTTCTAAAGTACAGTATATTCCAATTAAATAAAAGAATGAAACCTACTATGTCAGCCATGAGAGGGTCATCAGGATTAGGTTCATTCATGAGGATCTGGATGGAAGTTAGCAAAGTAGCAATGTTCAGGGATGGCCTCCAAGCACCCTTACATGCAAGAATAGAAGGAAAAACATATTGAAGAAAGTAAGTTACCCTCCAAGATTTTTCAAGTATTATTGCAGACTGAGTATTTTAATTGGCTTCCAAGTTATAGAAATGTAGCCAATAGTAAAAGAGTAATCTCATCTCTTAATGAACATGCACTTCTTTACCTTCTAACCAGTTAGGCATACACTTTTTCCAAGGCAGCCCTAAGTTACTCAGTTTAGTTTATGTACACAGTAGTTTTCTTTTCCGATATTCAATGGCTCTTAGAAATCACTTAATATACATTGAGCTTAATAAACTATTGGTGGATGGAAGTAAGCAAGATGTACATTTTTAAAAAAACATAACATTGGTAACTTTCTAGTTTTTAGGTTTATGGTTCTGGCTGTAGTTCATAGCTTTATGGATGCTATATCCATGAATAATAGTAATTCATGTGTATGGTGAAATAAACATATTGGAAAAATATCACTTCACACATAAGGCTCTTAAGTTTTATAATAAAATTACTTCAGCATGACAAACCCAGTAAGTGATCTCCTTGTAGCAATATGCATGCCAGGGATGGCATCCTGCACAGATAAAGCCATTTATATCAGTAACCATAGCAGCTGTCATAGATCTCCATGTTAGTGTAATTTTTATTTAAAATAATACAGCATCAGCCCTCCCAAATAGTGTAGGCTTGGAAACCAGAGGAGCTAATGCTAGCTTTATTAGGTTATAGTAGCAGAATCTCAAAAGTTTGGATGTGATTTCCTTCCCTTTATCTTCACAAGAACTAAGCCACTCAGTCATTGGAAATGAGATGGGTAGCAAATAAATTTTATAAATAAATAAAATAAAAACTATGGAGAGTCATGACTGAGACCCTTTCTCAAATTACATTTCTACACCAGACCAGATTTTATCTGACCATTGTTTTGGTTGAGGTTCTTCCTCCTGTTTCTCAAGGTTATTTCTTCTGCCTATTTCAGATAATGAAGCTAGAGATAAAATTAAAGTCCCGTTGTCACAGGATTTTAGAAGAAAAGAGTGCAATCCCTGCTATTCATTATTCCAGAGTGTTATAAATTTCATCCCAGTAAAACCATCCTTGGAGAATGAGGTTTTTAAACTAATGTTTCTGGGCCATTTTCTTAAGGATAATAGAACTGCAATTTATAATTGAAGCAATGCAATGCATTACCTTGGGTGGTAATCTAAGAACATCCAGGCAAATTCTTCCAGCTGAATCAATGTTGGGATGATAAATGGGAGTAAGAAAGCGCATTTTTGGAGGTTCAAATGGATACCTATTTCAGAAATAGTTCTCATTATTAGAAAAGAAAGACTTTTTAATGGGTTACAATCTTCTTCATTCCCAAGTCATTTTTCAACTTATACTTGTTACTGAATTTACTACAGAGAAGTTCATTGACAACTTTCTGGTTCCCATTCCAATCTTTTAAAGATTCATAGTTAATATGCCCATTTTATATGGCCATTTGTTTTAAATTTCAAAAACACAGATTCAACATTTACCTTTCAGGAACAATTACTTCCAAAGCAAAAACTCCTTTTTCGTATGGGGTATTTGTACAACCTAGTATTTCTAAAAGAAAAAGATACAAGAAATGTCAACACTGACCTCTTTAAGTAACTGTTGCACTTACTGTAAAAACAAAGTTAGATCTAAGAAGTGATAGTAGTATAATAATATCTTTAACATCTGTTCTATTCAAGAAATTCAGTTGACTAGGAACAAAGAGCACCAAAGAGTCTGATAATTACTGATTATTCAAAGTTGGAAAATAAATTAGGATACATTCCGCAATGGATTTCCACAATTTCAAGTACAGGGTTACTGGCTAAGAAAAAAAATAGAAACTACAACTACTACTTGAAAAGGGAGCAACTTTTCTATTTCCTATTATAAAATGATCACTTGTTTTCTATCTTTTGCATATACACAGAGAAATTCATAGACATATATTTTTCTTCTACATTAGCAAAGAAGGTTTCTTTATTCTGAAGAAAAATGTGGGGCAGGAGTGGAGAGGGGCAAGAGCCAGAATAGGAAAAAATCATATGGGTTTAAATTTCTTAAGTATCTATAGATCCAGGATAAACAGATTAATAAGAATAAATGTTTTTATCTTTAAAAGGATTGAAATCTATAGAAAACAAAATCTCAGAAAACAGACATGCGTGACTGTTTCAATAATTAACATTTAGCTACTTTTTGAAATTATAATTATGACAGCTCTTTGCTTTTTCAGTTTTAAGATTGAGGTTATTCTTAAATACATTTCATGTTATTTATACACTTTGTAAATATACTATCGTTATACCCTGTTTTCCCGAAAATAAGACCTCCCTGGATAATAAGCCCAATTGGGCTTTTGAGTGCATGCACTAAAATAAGCCCTCCCAGAAAATATTGCAACACAGCAGCGGCCATGAGGTGACTAGGCTCGCTGTCTCCTGCACCTCAAAAATAATAAGACCTACCCGAAAATAAGGCCAAGCACTTATTTCAGGGATCAATAGAAAATAAGTCTGTGTCTTATTTTCAGGGAAACACGGTAGTATATTAGGTATTGCTAAATAGAAAAATCTGATAATGTAAAGTTTAAAGGTATGTAAGTATAAGCTTTAATATTGTATTGTGCCTTAGATTCAGTTGCAAAATGATTCTTCATAGTACATAGTGGCACACACAACATATGCAATGGCTTTACAAAACAATCAGGCCCTGTATTTTTGCCATATGCAATTAATTTGTGAAATTCATTTAGTCACATTTATAAATCATTTAAATGACTGATACCAAGCAATAGTCAATGCCAATTGATAATCATCATTCAAAACAAATTCAATCATCAGAACACAGTATGACAGCTTTTTTACCCTCATCTATTAGAAGTCTGTGATGTGCTCACTTTAAAGTTACAAATATTTATTATTTTACCAAAGTACAAATTCTTTCATTCAAGCAAATAATTATTTTTCCCAATAATTATTCCAATTTGGTCCTGGAATCACTAGATATTTCCATCTTATGATGTTGAAATATATTCAATGGAATCTACTCTCAAAGAAATTTAGGTTTAATTTAAAATAAATAATAGTTGCATATATGAATACTGAAACCAGAGATTTGATTTCAATTTTTAATTTAATAACACAAAATATAGATTGTGTGTCTCAACAATTGTAATGTTTGACATAGATTATATGAAGCCCTATTTTCTTGCAAAGTTGAAATCACCAAGATGATAAAAAATCAGGTAGAAAACACTTATGGAAAAAATTGGCAGGTTTTAGATATCTTTGGTCTGAAGGGCTGTCGTTTAGAAGGTAGGACAGGATTATCCAGAGTCGTTGCAAAAGACATAACATAAAACAGTAAGTTTAAATTACACAAGGCTTCATTTGAGCATTAAACAGTCCTAATGGTGAAAGTTATTTAACAATGGAACAGGCTGGTATAAAAAGTGATGGACTCCCTTGCTAGAGACTAGATGGTCATCCATCCATTGGGGATGCCCATTGTAATAAATTCTGCACTGGACAGGGTGTTTGACCAGATTCTTTTTTACAGCTAGAACTGTAAAAAATAAGACTTGTAAGCAACATACATTAAAAAGATGATTGCAATTGCAACCTAAAAATAAATGGAATATAATATTTTGTGTATGTATGTATGTATGTATGTGTGTGTGTGTGTGTGTGTGTGTGTGTGTGTGTGTGTGTGTATGTATGTATGTATGTATGTATGTATGTATGTATGTATGTATGTTTGTATTTGAGGAAATACATACGGGCTCGAAGATCATTTAGATTTACATTCTGCCAGCAGGTAATTCCTGGGGGTGGTTCTGTGGCCATTAACTGCAGCTCTCTCTTCAGCCGTGAAGCCCTTTGCATTGCACTGCAATGACATAAGCAAGAATTCTACAGCATTTAGTTCCTTTCTTTTCATTTCCCATAAATCTTCCTGAAATCATAAATTTTAGTATAAGACATAAACTTTCATAAGCGGCAGTTCACTTACTCAAATGTTGCATCTCATGAAAGCTTATATACCTTACAATAAAATGTATTGGTGTTGAAAAATACTATGAGGATCTTTCTGGTTTTTAGCTACTATAGACTAACCTATACCACCACCACCACCCCGCAATTTTACAAATCTTGCAATAATCCTCAGTAATGATATCATAGTATAGATTGTTTTAAAAATGACACAGGCTGTACAGAACAATTAAAATATTTTTTAGCTGAAAATACTAATACAGACCTCATAATAACTATATTCATGGAGAAATTATCAAAAGCATTTCTACTGATCAGCAGCAACCATACTAAGTTGACCCACTTAAAAGGCCTTGGATAGGACACAGAAAAGTGGATGTGAAGTGGATGTTCAGATGTGAAAGTATGGCATCTTTCCTCCTACCCAGAGTCTCTTCTGTTAGGCAAATTATTAAAACAGTAAGACAAATAAATTAAGCAACCCAAAGAGGTTTTGAAGTTTGGAAATGATGGAACCTGTAATCCTATACTTATCAACAGCATCATATTAGGGAAGCCCTTTGATTGCTCAAGTATTCAAGGTTGGGACTGGTGCCCTGCCTTTTTCTTATTTCCCCAGTGTGTCTGCCCAAGGAAATGAGGGACCAGGAGAGCTTTACTGTTGACCCAAGGAGTAACCCGGGTTTAGTGAGCGAGACTACCCCCCCTCCCACACACATATACATTTAGACTTAGAATAACTTTATTGTCACTTTAAATGTACACTAATCGGCATACATTAAAATGAAATTTTGTTGCATACCCACTACATAAACACGACAAAATAAATACAAAATTATGCATAGACCCTCTTATATTATATCATTTTATATTATACACACGAAGGGCTCAAGAAGGCATTCTGTCAAGAGAAGGGGGAGCAGCAATTTAATAATAACGTTAAGATTTGAACATACACACCCTAAACTATGGTCGTTTTCTTCCCACCTCCCTCCGCCACGAACCCTCTCAGGACCCGCGCGCTCAAGCCTTTGCTCGGACCACCGAGAGTACGATGCTGGAGAGCAAAGCTCCCTCCTACGAAGGGAAGGAGTCGGCCCCGCTCGTTTTTTCGCCTCTGGGAGACGGTAGGAGTCCGAGAACCGAAGACAGGAATCTGAATATCTTCCCCTTTAGCAGCCCGGAAAAGAACCCGCAGAGCTCGGAAGCCAAGCTGAGGGGAAACTTCGGAAAAGCGCGCCACAAGTTCTCAACCAGTAAGAGCCAAGATGTCAAACGGCTTGCAATATCACCGGGCAAAAAAAATGCCCATCAAGATCTGACTTTATGCCGATTGGCTATTACAAAAAATTGTTTCCGCCTCAGGAGTTTAAATCGGCGGAGCAGCTGTAGGAGGAAGTTGTCACTTGGTTAAGGTTTCCGGACCGGGTCTGTAGTGAAGGTATACCGAATACATTCATATATCCTTGCCTAATGGTTTTACAGTTACAGCTATCGTCACGCAACCACCACTCTGCGAATTTAAATGTCTCTCTCAGTTGCTGTTATATCTGCACATCGATGGTTGAATGACAATCGGCGCTCTACTGTAAATCACTAGGAAGAAATGGTTTTGTGGGCTTATGTTTGTGGTTATCAGCATAAAGGTGGAGCAACAGGAACTGGCAACATTTAAGTCAAGAATTTACCTTATAATACTAATTCAGGTCATTCAGTAGGGATCATGAGCCCAACCAAATATTCTCCAAACTAGACTTTGGGACCTTATGAAAGAACTGCCAGATATTCTATGGCTGTGTGAGTGTGCACATGTCTTCTAGTCCAACCCCTTGATTGAGCAGGAAACCCAATATCATTTCACACAAATGATTATCCCGTCTCTGAAAGCATTCAATGATGGAGCACCCACAACTTCTGAAGGCAAGCTATTTCATTGGTTTATTGCTCTCACTGTTAGGAAGTTTCTCCTTAGTTCTAGATTGCTTCTCTCCTGGGTTAGTTTCCAACCATTGTTTCTTGTCTTGCCTTTTAGTGCTTTGGAAAATAGTTTGACATCACCCCTACCCCATTTTTGTAGGATCCCCTCAATTATTGGAACAGTGCTATCATGCCTCCCCCCTCCCAGTACTTATCATTAGACTAGACATACCCACTTCCTATAACCATTTTTCATACATTTTTAGCCTCCAGCCCCCTAATCATTTTTGTTGCTCTTCTCTGCACTCTTTCCAGAGTCTCAACATCTATTTCCCCCACAATTCTGTGGGTTGGGCTAAGAGAGAGTGACTGGCTCAAAGTCACCCAGCTGGATTTCATACCTAAGGGGTGTGTGTAGATGTAGAATGTAAATTCTGATCACTTTTGGCCTGCTAAACCTAAAATTGATGTATTTAGTTTTAGAATGAATATCCCTACTGTGACATATGTAATTTGTCCAAAGGATTTGTTCTTTCAGATGAATTAAAAACTATTAATAAAATCTATACGTAAATATTCTTTTTAAGCCGGCAGTAAATTAATCTGCCAAACTGAAAAAGTAGCATCATGATCAAAATCAGAGAAGAGTTCTAATTTCCCTTTTTTTCCCCAAACAGGAAGTACTCATATCAAACCGGATATCCTTCTTGCTAACTCCCGGAAGCTAAAAACCTCCTTCCCTCCAAGTGGCTGTAAAGGTAGCAAAATGGCGCCCCTTTATTAAGAAACGAAAGTAGGACGCTATGAACGGAAGTGTACAGGAAGTGGCTGTTTAAGGATGTACAGCGAAGACAAGAGAGTACGTCCATTAGAGTGGATTTAAGGGTTAACCCTTGGCAAAGGAGTGATTGTCATCTCGGATCGGGGTAACTTCCGGGATTTAATCCTGGGCTTCCCCACTTGTGATGTCCGAGATGGCGCTGGCGGTAGTAGCTACGAATGGAAACGGACAGCCTGCAGTTGACACCCCATCGTAGTGAGTATTGAAGGACATTTTCCTCCCCAGCTCTCTGTTTGCGACGGGCAAGGGGCGGAGGGGAGGGAGCCGACGTAGTAACCGACCACATCAACTATCCCGGTTGGTTGCGAAGACGGAGGGCTCGGCTGTCTCTCTAAATTGGAGGGAAGCAGCTCCGCGTTTGTACCCGGCTCAAATTCCAGGGCGCCCCGTAGTTGCTATAGGTGTACCCGCTGCTCCTTCGCAAATCCTGTACTGTAGGGGTTCCTCGCTGATTCTTGAGAAACATGGCGAAAGCCATCCCTGCCTCTTCTTTTTACGGTCAGACGTGTCCCCTTAATCAGTGTTCCTCAACCTCTTTAAGAAGGTTGAACTTCATTTCCCAGACCTAGCTTAGCCCAACCTTAAACCGTGTTGGCTGGGAATTCTGGGAGTTGAAGTCCACTCATCTTGAAGTTGCCAAGGTTGAGAACCATTGCCTTAGATCACTGTTTCTCAACCTTAGCAACTTGAAGATATGTGGACTTCAGCTCCCAGAATTCCTCAGTCACCTTGCTTGCTGGGAATTCTGGGAGTTGAAGTCCATCCTACTTCAAGCTGCTAAGGTTGAGATATACTGCCTTAGATAGTCATTGAAAGGTGAGGTGGTTGGGGGAAAGGCTGCAATTTTTATCTTCCTGAATCCTTAGTGGGCAAAGTGCGGCAAAAGCAATGTGGTTTCAACAGATCTGAGCTTATTGGTAGGGATCTTATTAAGTAGATCTGCAGAGTTTGGAATGTCAAATGTTTAACAGCAGCCATCAGGGAAATATATATATATATATATAAATTATAAAAGAAATTGCTGAAAAGAAGAAAGCTTGGGGTAATTTGGAGCGGGTACTTGTAGAAAAAGGCTGAAATTCTGATCTGAAGTAAAATGTTGTAGGTCCAAAATGGATTTCATTATATGCTTACAATTTGTGCCTAATCACAGTTTGTGCATCTCAAAGAATAAAGGAAGACAGTGAAAATAATACTCTAAATTTGAAAGCATTTCTATTATGTTGGAGGCAAATAGCTCTAGACTTTCTATTGGCCTGATTGATCAATCAATTGATTCCATTGAATGTATATTACACTGCATTCAAATTATCTCACCTTTATTATATTATCTAGAACAGGTAGGTTCTGTTTCCCTTCTACCTTCTAACTAAAAATATTTTAATTCATTTGTTCAAAGAATATGATAAGATCTTAGGTCCTATTTAAAAAGCAAAAAAGCAAAAAAAAATTTAACAGAACACATGTTGACTGGAGGAATGTAGAAGTGATATAATCAACAGTGAGAGTGTGCCTTCATTTTTCCTTCAGTATTAGTGTTTAAATTACATTTTAGTGCTTAAGTTGCATTAAGTTACATTTTAATAAAACTAACATAGTAGGTGGAATGATTATTTTTTCTGTAAATAGTCATTAAAAGGCTGTTGATGGTATTCTAAATTTTGAAATTTAGAAGAAATCCTACTTAAAGTAGAATAATGATTATACTCACAAAATCAAAATATTTATTTGAAACTTAATTGCTTGTTATAAGAGTAATGGATTATATATATATTTTGTCTTTTAAGTATTACAGAGTGTGTATATCAACTAGTTCAAATGACTGGGAAGGATGGAAAAAAAGTTTTGAAATTGTATCCAGCTTCTAAACCTTTAAATAACTTGAAGCCTCTGGTTCAGTCTCCAGTCGTGTCTCGTGATGTTAAAGGAAATGTTTCACTATCTGTTCATGATTATGCGAAGACTTCATTTGCAAGTACTATTACATCTGCTGCTGCTAAAATCTCTAAATTAAAGACAGTTGAACCCAGGCGTTTAATTTTACCGAAGCCTTTAAATCAACTAGAACAAGTTAATGTAACTATTGTTGTAAAACAAAATCCAATTGCATTAACAGTTTCTGGCATTCAGAGTAGTTATTCAGCTGATAGATCATCTTTGCAGAAATCTTTTGCTCCAATTTGTTTGGACACAAACACAACAGTTGTGAAAATGGAAAATACTCCACTTTCCATGAAACTGCCAATGTTACCTTCTGGCCCCCAACTTCAAATACCTGCTCATGCTAAAGTTAAAACTCTTCCAGTTTCTGTTTTGCCACTAGTAGTTCAGGACAAAATCCTAGCTGCAGCCTCAAATACTTCAGGGACAGGTGAACATATCAATGCACCAATTTTTATATCACCAGTAAATACAGTGAAGATGCTTGCTTCTGAATCATTGGAAACAAAATCACTGGGAAAAGTATCCAGTTCTTTAATACTGGCGACACCACAGAAGTTTGTCAATAGCTCTGCTAGTATGGAAAATAAGATGAGTCCTAGCAAATTGATTGTTCATGAAAATTCACAGTCATCAACAACTTACCTTGTCCCTGTAAAATCATCTAACAAAGTTGCATCTAAGCTCTTAATAACATTGACTGACACGAAAAATACCAAAAACAATTCTACCAGTATTTTGCCTATTTGTTCTAACAGCCTTCATGAAAGTCATGCAAATATGCCATCTATAAAAGAAAATACTCTATTTATTTGCAACGGAAAGGTGTATTCACTGGCTAAAAAGAAGGCTAATATTTTATCAACACTCAAGCCTATCAAGCAAGAAAGCACAAATGTCAGAAAACAAACATCAGAATTAATTAGTTCAGTTACGGACAACACTATATTAAATCAGATTATCAATCTTGTATTATCAAAAAATAAAAGGATTGCATCTAATGTGAAAGAACCCAAATTCAGTGACAATACGATACCGTATCTAAAATCTGAAGTAAATAAGGATTTTAAAGTAGAATCGACACCTTCTACCTCACCACATGATAATTTTCAAATAAGCAGCATCAGGCAACATGAAGCAGTGTCCACAAGGAGTAGTGCTTCCATTGGGATAAATGTTGCTCAGAAATATATCAAAAAAGAAAACACGTATGATAGTACACATAAAGATCTTTCTTCTAAAGCAGCTACTGATCCTACATCACCACCTGTGCTACATCATGCAGTCAAAGAGGAAGAACAAGAGGTAATTATTCATATCAAATTGTATTTATATTGAATATTTATATTATTGGGATTGTGCTCATATCTGCCAATATGATTAATGGAAATGAAAATGAAATATTTTTTTCTGTACCAACCTCTTGAGGAATAATTTGCTGAAGGATGTTGGCCTGGGTTTCTTCCATTTTTTTATAGGCCTCACAATTTTAGATCATCAGGTGGTCTTTTTTGATAATTAGATGCTTATATTTTATAAGATATCTTTTTATATTCAGTATTTACATGTTTATTGACTTGTAAATTACTTTATGGAATAAAATGATTGAAATGAGTAATGTTTACTATTTTAGGTGCAAATAACTTCAGGAATGCCAATTTGGATGAAGCATATCCAAGAACAACAGAAAAAAGATTTTCTCAATCTTCAGTTGAGAAAAAAATTTGGTCTCTTTAAAGAAGAAAGAGTTTATCTTAGGAGAGTTTCATCAGTTCCATCTAAAAATTCAGAAGCATATGTATTTTCCAACAGTGTACAAATGAATGACATTGATAATTTGATGTCTATTCCTGTGAAAAGTGAATCTGAAAAAGAAGAAATGGTACGTAGAATATTACATTTATGATTAATATTCTTTGATACTTATCCCTAGTAACAACTAGTATGAATAATAAAGCCTGTCACAATGATTGACTGGATTGTTGTAATATCATTAAATGTTTATAGATTCATTATTTTTTTTACAAAATATGTGTTTTTCAAGAAAGGTATGGAAGTATTAAAGTAACATCAAAGTATATGCCTTATTTATAGCTTTTGACATTTTAATGCTATTTTTAGTGTTTTGTAACATCCAAAAAGGAGGAGATATAGTAGTGAAGCAATTTGAGTACTTTGACTTTTGAACGTGAAATAATGTCCCGCTACTTTTTTTTCCTTCATGAAAAGTGATATATTAAATGTACCATGAAACTGTTAAACAGGGAAGTTGTCAGTTTTATAACCAATATAAACCAATGCAGTGATGCCTTAAAAGAACAGTTTTAGGGGGCCATGTGCTTATCCCTTCCATCCAAAATAGGTTCCTTTCAAGGACTTCCTCCCAGGACAAGCAGTAGTGGCAGTAAATCTAAACTAGTGGACTTTTTGAAGTTGCATGTTAGTTTAGGAAGAGTGTTTCAGAAGGCTTTGAATTCAATAGAATCAAAGCTTTTCCTGGTATGTTTTCTACCCCAGTCTGTAATACACCTCCTTTTGACCCCTTCCAATATTGGACTTTCTAACATTAGAACATCTTCAAAGTAGAAGAAATGTGTTTTTAACCTTAGGAAGAAAAAGAGCTTAGCTTAGCTTAGATTTTATTTAGAATACTCCGTGATTAATATTGATCTGTTATTTAAGTGAGTAAATTCATTTCAAAACTCCTTGGGACATTGCCTGCAAGACATTGAGTTGCATTCTGAATAGCTGTAGATTGGGTTGCTTAATTTATATTGTCACAATAATATACTACTCTTTTTATTCTTTATTTACAGATAATTGGAGAACAAGGAAGAAAGTTGAATAAAAAGAGGAAGACAAAAGCAATACCAGTTTTAGAAAATCCAAAGAAGAGAAAAAATGATGTTACAACAATGCAGAACTCCAACTTTGAGTGCAACAGCTCTTATTCAGTAATGGAAAACTTGAACAATTCTTGCACACAGAACTTATTGGAACACAAGCATTCCAGTTTTCTTCAGTGTCCTCATGTCTCAAATCCTTGGGTTTGTAACAACTCTGAAGAGAACAGAGTTTTGAATTCTACTTCGAATTGCCATGAAAGTGAAACTGCTCTTGGTGAAAGTTCTTTCAAAAAGGATATTTTTCCTTTCACCCCCCCAGACTTGGAAGAAACAATAAAAGATGAGAAAATAACAAGGCTTAAATTATTGCTGAGAGAACGAGAGGCAGCCTTGGAAGCAGTTCGGAAAAAAATGCATCGATGTTAACAAAGCTAATTTGCAAATTGCTGGAATGTTACCTGTTGCTGTTCATTTGACCTATAATAAATCTAATTTTCCTTATGTTTGCATAGTATTAATAGGTACAAGTATGAATGAATGGACTCCAATTCCAAGACAAGAAGTATGCAAATCTAGAATCTTATTGACAAGAATATAACTTGCTGAACAATTTATTTAATTCATTATAATTTTTATAGTCAATACAATTTATATTCATGCTGATCATGATCAGTCTCCAGACTCTGGTTTCCAAATGAAATGTAGATAGAATTCTTCAGTTGCAAATGTTTCTAAAGCATAGGACTAGCTTAATACTGTCAGAAATGTACTAGCTTAGATTTTATTTAGAATACTCCGTGATTAATATTGATCTGTTATTTAAGTGAGTAAATTTGTTTCAAAACTCAAAATAACATTTTTGAGTCACTAAAGATCAACAGCAGTAGCACTTACATTTATATACCGCTTCATGGGGCTTTCAGCCCTCTCTAAGCGGTTTATAGTCAGCATATTGGCCCCAACAATCTGGATCCTCATTTTACCGACTTCGGAAAGATGCAAGGCTGAATCAATCTTGAGCCTGGTCAGATTCAAACTGCCAAATTGCAATCAGCTGGCAGTCAGCAGAACTGCTTTCTAACCACTGCGCCACAACAGCTCATAGCTCATTTATTCCAAAGGTGCTTTTTTTCAAGAGACAACTGAAGACATTTCACTTGTTATCCAAGAAGCTTCTTAAACTCTGACTGGATGGTGGGGAGTGGAAGTATAGACCCATAGCTCATTTAGTTTCTTAAGAGATTAAATTTAGATCCTGACTTAAAGAAATAATATATTGAAAAGAATTAGAACAACGAACTGTACTGCAAAGCACGGTAATTTGCAGTGTGCTACTTATATGCCTTTCCAAGATATTCTAGCCACTATCTGGTTTCCTACTTACTTTTGATCCTATGCTGACTATAAACTGCTTAGAGAGGACTGTGAAGCAGTATATAAATGTAAGTGCTACTGCTGTTGATCTTTAGAGATCCCTTCATCTCTTAAATACTTACATAGTCAGTTTTGTGGCCCCAGAGAAGCTCACAAGTAATCATCTTGTTTGGGATTTGTTTTAGCTTCATAAAAATCTGGATTTGGTAGAATGAGTTTGCTATTAAAGTAATATATTTTTTTCATATTTAATTTAGGTTTGAACACCAGATGATATCTAACCTACATTTTCATGACCTTTTCTGTGAATAAATTTAATTCATTAATTCTTTTCAGAAAATCAGTGTTTCTTCTTTTCTATAATAAATATATGAACAGGGAAATCTCACTGCCTTATTCTTTAACAGTATTACTCATTTGATTGGAATATAACCCATGCTGATCTACTAACCCTAACTTAAGTTTTTGTTGTTGTTGTTGGTTTCTGTATGTTGTTGATGGAGCTATGTGTAGTTGGTACCTACCTGGACCTTTTTGAGATACAGTGCTAAAGGATAGAGTTGTCCTATCTTCAATTGTATTGGATCGTAACTTGACTGACTAGACTTTGTGTAATAGAGCCTTGAGCTTCTGGTTCTGTGAAAATGATCTTGCTTTTAATAGGGGATTTTGCCAGGAGGAGATACCATAGCTTAGAAATACAGCACTGCTGGGGATCTTGGCAAAAGTCAAGATAGTGCTTCACTATCTGGCAAAGACAGGAGATAGGGCATCTTGTGTGGCAATGACAATAGAGCCAGTTTCTCATTTATGATGCTGGAGCTTTTGGTGTCTAAGGAGCTATCTGGCTCTATTGACTGGTAGTGGGAACTACTGCAGATATTGTACATGTTTTGCTGCTTCCTGGCCAAGATGCTTGCTGTGATTCCAGGGCCCATAGTGGTTGGACACCTACACTGGCAGTGATCTGGAATTGGGAGAGCTTTCATTGTCTCCCTTGTCATGATCAGGTCATGCCTGATAGCCATGGGATTCTGTGGTGTAATTAACCACTGCAGGAAGATAGGGCCTGTTTGGAACGTAAAGCCATCAAATGAGATCATCTTTCATCGTGATATGCTGATGGTATTCAGTTATATTTCATATAATTATCCCCTGCCAAATTAAATGAGGCCGTTGATGTCCTATCCCAGTTTCTGAAGGCCTTGAGAGCCTGAATGGGAAACAACAGGCTTTGGCTGAACCCTGGCAAAACTGAATGGGTTGGGGGCCTTCTGGTTCTAGCATTTTGCCATATTTGGTACTGGATGGGATTATATTGCCCTAAGCAGATCCAGTGTGCAACGTAGAGAGTTCTAGACTAATGGCACCTGCTTAAAGAACGGGTAGCAGTTGTAACTAGGAGGGCCTTTTTAAAGCTGCATGGTATGTGCCAATTATGCCTGTTACTGGATTGGGAGGTTCTGGTCATGGTCACTCATGTCCTATACTTATCTTCAAGATGGACTATTGTAATGCACCTTATATAGGCTGCCCCTGAAGACTATTCAGAAACTTTATTTGGTGGAAAACATGTTTGGTGTGGGTACTTAGGTGTACTCCTAGACTTGGAACATCACAAGTTACATCTTCAACTCTGTAAACTGCATTGGTTGCCAATTTGCGTCCAGATCCAAGATGCTGGTTTTGACCTTTAAAACTCTTCATTCTTGAGCAGGTTGAGGGATTGCTTCTTCACAATTATATCTGCCCATGCCATGAAGTCTGGCATAAGAGGTACATTGCAGCTTCATCTGATAAGGAGTTATATTTGGCATTGACCTAGGAGACAGGCCTTTTCTGTCATGATACTTTCTCTGTGGAACATTATTCTCTCCACAGGGAGACTGGTTGGTAACATACCAGGAAAAGCTTTGAATTCAAAGCCTTCTGAAACACTCTTCCTAAACTAACATGGTTGGAAACCACTTGCAAATTCCTCTCTTTGTGGCTACATCAACAGCCTTGGGGATCTGAGGGAAATGGAATCGGTCATAGGGTTATATTGCAATATTAAAGATGATCATTTCTAATATTTTTGAATAATGTTGATAATTTTGTTAAATTGTTTTTAAATCTTTTTTTAATTGTTTGTTTCTGTAAGAAACAGAGTGTTTCTGTACTGTAAGAAACTGCTGCCACTCAGTCACATTTGTGAGATGGGAAACTATATAAATGTGAATGAATGAATGCATCTGCCTGTAAAGAATAAATCTATTCTTAAAGGCCAGAAATAAGAGAAATAAGCTGTATAGAATCTACTGAAGTATTGAATGTCCATCAAATTTTATCCAACTGTCCATATAATTTTACCTCAGATTGTATATAAGATGTTGAATGAGAATCATTTCATTTGTTACTGTTTGTTATCTAAAATGTGTAGCCTAATTCTTCACTTGGTCAATTTAAAGGATAGTGATGTCATATGACACTAGCTTTCCAAGCCCATTTATACAACATATATACAGGCTATCACTCAGTTTTACAGAGCCAGTTACCAATATTTAATTTTAATATTTATATGACTACCAATGTAAAGTAAATGTGTAATGGTTTTGATTCTACTAAAATACCTTCTTGTATTTCCAGACATTTTCATTCTCTCACCATTATTTATGATATAGTTCAATACAAACAAGAGTTTATTCTCTTATCAATTACTGTATGGATTAAAATTAAGACTAATGTATATAGTAGTATTTGAGATCAGTTTAGATAATTTAGAACTGCTTTATGCCCAGTTTCCAGTAATATTTTAATATAAATTAAGAGGGGAAGCTTGGAAATTTCAAGAAGCAAAATACCTGGACCATGCTTTTTTCTCTCATTTCTTTTTCTGAAGACGTGCTCTTATCTCTACCCATATTTGTCCCACTATTAAACTTAGTTAATCTAGTCAAATTATTTGTTCATTTTGAGAATATTCTTTAGGCAAGTAATTGTAGTCTGAAAGCGTTACAATGGGAAATATTCTGAGAATATTCGCAACAATTTTATGAGGCATTTAAAAAAATCAACTTTTGTCAGCAAAGTTTTTATTTATTTTATAAAAATCTGTAAAGATACATACCATATAATCATTTTTATATTACATTGTACAATCTTTTGTGAGATACTTAAAAACTTTTTCTATAAACAATTGGCAAGTCAGTAAAAATCCTTAATAGTAGCATTTTCACATAAAATGACATTTTTATATATTGCACTGAATGTTATATAACATAAAACGCAAGAGTTTTCAGCAGTTGTGCAAAAATACTGTAAATTAAGAATGGCTTTCAGAAACATTAATAGTTTGTTTTTTTATCAATTAACAAAATGGAAAGTAAATGAATAGAAGAGAAGTCAAATCAATATTTGGAGTGACCACCCTTTGCCTTCAAAACAGCATTAATTCTTCTAGGTATACTAGGCACAAGTTTCTGAAGGAACTTGGCAAGTTTCCTTCAAATTGTTCCAAACATGTTGGAGAACCAGAAATCCTTCGTGGATGTAGGCTGCCTCAAATCCTTCTGACCCTTCACATAATCCCAAACAGACTTAATGATGTTGAGATCAGGGCTCTTGTGAGGGCCAAACCATCATTTCCAGAACTTCTTGTTTCTTATACTGATAATAGTTAATAACATTGGCTGTATGTTTAGGGTCATTGTCCTGGTGAAGAATAAATTTGGGGCTAATCACAGGCCTCCCTGATAGCACAGTATGATAGGTAAGTATCAGCCTGTATTTCTCAACTTTGAGGACACCATTGATCCTGGCCAAATCTTGAATTCCATTTGCAGAAATGCAATCCAAACTTGCAAGGAATCTCCACCATGCTTCACTGTTGCCTGCAGACATTCTTTATGGTATGCTCTCCAGCCTTTTGGTGAACAAACTCCTGTTACAGCCAAATGTCACATTTTGATTCATCACTCCAAAGGACCTGCTATCATTTTTCTACATCCCAGTTCAGATATTTTTGTGCATAGTTGAGTCACTTGGCCTTGTTTCCATCAGACTTTTGGGGCACAATTCTTCCATGAAGACCAGTTCTGGTCAGACTTCTCCAGACAGTAGATCAACGTACCTGGGCCCCACTGATTTCTGCCAGTTCTGTGTTGATGGTACTGCTAGACATCTTCCAATGTCAAGGAAAGTGAGCATGATGTGTCTCGGTGGTTTTTTTTTTACTACCGGTTTGCTCATACATGCACATGCACTTGCTCACACATGTAGCACTTCTGCACTTGCATAGAAGCATCTGGGCGGGTGGGCGGAGCCTCCTACCGCTGCCACTACTGGTTTTCCCAATCTGGGCCAAACTGGGAGCAACCCACCTCTGATGTGTCTGTCATCTGCTGCATTAAATTTCCTGTTTCCTAAGTTTTGCCCAATTCGTTGTGCTTCTTGAAAAGAACCTGAACAGCACATCTTGAAACCCCAGTCTGCTTTGCAATATTTGCCTAGGAGAGACCATGAAACTGTCTTCCACAACCTCACCTTAGTAGCAGAGTTTGGCTGTGCCTCACTCAGTTTTAAGTTGTTTCTGTTTCAATTAGTGACTGTGTTTCAAACTACATATGAAATTGATGCTCATTAGACCCTGGCTTGGTATAATTGGTTAATCACATACCTGACCCTAATCCTACAAAATCCCTGACTTTGTGCAAGTGTAAGAATTGATACTATTTTGATGGCAAAAGATGGTTACCCCAAATATTGTTGATTTGGATTTCTCTTGTTCATTCACTTTCCATTTTCTTAATTGATAAAAATAAATTATTAACACTTATATTTCTAAAAGCATTCTTAATGTACAGCAATTTTGCACAACTGCCTAAAACCTTTGCAAAGGACTGTACGTATAGCCATGTATATGGCCTGATGCCAGTGGAATTAATAGACATCATGATTTCTGCTATTTAAAAAATGGAAGTGCTATATGTGAACCAAAGCTTCCCCCCCACACACACACACAGAAGTACTAATTTATGTCATTTTCTGTGTTTTCTTCTCATATGCTTCCTGTGATTGGCATTCCTTGCTCATCCGCTAGGAGCTGCTCTTGAGTGTGATAAAGATTAGGGCCCAATAGTATTGTTTCCGTATGCAATGAGACTTTCTACAATAAATGGTGGAAAAGAATGAAATTTATTAGTTAATTTGGTTCTGTTATGATAAAACAAAAAAATGATTCTACTTTATAAAAATAATTAAGGGATATCATGGAGATTCTTAATAATTTTGTCAACATTCAAAAATTGCACAAAATCATCTCAAATCATTCCATCTCTCAGACTTTGTTCTCTTCCTTGCCTATCCCTTAAAGCAAGTACCTGAAGTCTCTGGAAGTCATTACTTCTAAATGCTGAATGGGACTGTTTCCAGAGTTTTGCCTGGACTCCTTCCTTTCCCAACAGGTGGAAAATCTTCCTGGCTCCCCGTGAAAGGTTGTTCTCAGGTGCTCACTATGTTCTTGGAGCCCTCTGCTTTGAAAGTTGTATGATGCCAGTGGGTTGGGCTTCAGAGAATCAGAATGTTTCTAGGCCCAACCATTGAGGTCACTGGCCCTGGAAGGACCCCAGAGAAAAATGAGCCTCCAAACAAATTCCAATGCTAAAGAGATATGATCAGATTCACCACTGATTTGAACATGTACAGCACTACATAAATTCTAGACCAAAAATAGGTAATGGAGAGTGAAGGGGAGAAATATTTTGCAGCACACTATCTTTAATTCTCCCTCACATTATTGAGGTAAACTACATGTTTGTATTTTTTAGGCTTATAAGCTGCTTCAACTGTACCCAATTTTAAGCAATGTATGCTTCATCTCTTATGATTAAAACAATACAAATTCCAAAAGGCCTGAGCCATCTATTCATAGGTGAAATGTTGGTCTATTGGAGGAAATGGCAACCAAAAAAGATGAGTTCAACACCTCTGATAGTAATGCTCTGAATAGAGACCCAAAGGGAACCCTCCCCCTCCCTGATCTTACTAAGCGGGCATTTAACAGGCAGCCATAATCAAAGATCTTACAGTAATCAGAGGAATAATATCCCTGGTTACCTGCATGACTTTCTGCAATATAGCAGCCACTTTCCCACCCCTGCCCTGGGCTTTCAGCTGATGCAAAAACCAAAATTCAAATCAGAATTGTGAAAGTCACACTTCTGAAAGTCTCTCCCTTCATCCAATTCTCAGTAACATGCCAGGTTCACCCACTCTACAATTAAATCGTGACTTAGGAGACATTTACTATGAGCAGGCTAATATATTAGCCAAGGTGGCGCAGTGGTTAAATGCAGCACTGCAGGCTACTGCTAGATCAGCAGGTCAGCGGTTCAAATCTCACTGGCTCAGGGTTGACTCAGCCT